GATCTAGGCATTCCCAGTCTTGAGTTCAACCTCTGTCCATTTTGGAACTAGAGAATTATTCATTCTGGTTGAGCAGGGTAGTTAATTATTTCAGCAAATTCAGGCAGCTCCAAAGCAGGGCAGAGACAAAGGGGTAGAAAAAGTGAGCATATTTTGGTGATCAAGGTGCTGGGATGAAAGGGAGCCAGATGCAAGAGACTGCTTTATCTAATTTAGACTTCCCAGTTCAGTCTCAGTATCCCGTCTTCCAGGTGAGTATTTTAATCACTAAGTTTCTGATTATGCTGAGGTAGCTTGCTCTTTTGTAAGCATGTTAAACTCTTTCAAGTTATCTCAGTTTCCACTGCAGGAAAATGTCTAAACCTAAATTTTGTTGTGAGAGAAAATTTTTGTCTTTCAGGCAACCTGATGTTTTGTAATTTCTTCTGTATTTCTCAGTTCTGTATTAAAAAAAAAAATCTGTTGAGGTCTGTCAGGCTCTAGAATATATGTTGCTAATCTCATTTGTATTCCCCTCACTGGCAAATCAGGTTGGTACCACTGAAATGTGAAACAATGAATGGGGGTTGGCAACCATCATCTCTGTCTCATGTACATGTTTATCATGCTGTCTTATTTTAGATATTTCAGGACAATTAATATCTTGTTATAATGTATATTACTTTTCTCCAAATGATACAGCAGAAAAACATGTAACTTTATTTTGCTTAAAGAGTTTTAAAATGTGGTATATATTGCTAGAGTTTGGCCATAATTTCTGCTGCAGTGCCAGAAAGTGCCTTCTGGAGTTCTGTCAATGTTTAGAACCAAAGAGGAGAGATGATTTAGAGGCAACACTGAGAAGGAGCTTGTAGCTACACTTAAGTAACCTTCAAAAATGGATGGTATGCAGAGAGTTTATCCCCTCCCTACAAAAATCCCATGTAGGAAAACATTTTTTCTCAATTAGCAGAAAGCCTAACTTCTGCTTAGTGTGAACTAATTGTGCAGATGCTTTGTCAGCAGGCTGTATTGTCTCAGCTTTGCAAAACTATCAAAGCTCACTGAGCTGCCAGACTATATTCTCGCTGTGATGTGGAGTTTTGAGGAACACAACTAATCTCTTTTTATTATCTCTTGTTCTAGTGCGCATGATCTCACAAAATGGGACCTGTTCAGTAACTGCTACAGATTACTAAGAACTGGAATTGAACACGGAGCTATGCCAGAACAGGTACAGTTAGCAACACTTGCACTGCTTCATTTGGGGATTCAAAGTTTTAAAGGGTCTAGTCATAGAGAAATTAAAAAGTTTAATGCAACTTCAGTTATTTAGGAAAAACATAGAGTTTTGAATGAAATTTGTATTTTAGTGAGGCACTGTCCAGGAGGTGAAAAATCTTTGATTCTGTGATTTTTGAGCTACTCGCCTCACCTTTCTCATCTGTATAGTAAGGAATAACTAACATTCCTAGCTGTGAAAAGCAATGCATAAATCATGGTGTTTACACTGAAACCCAACACCTGTAAACCTTGGCTGCAATTAGAATTATCACAAAACGTTCTTGTGCATTGAAGGTAAAATGGAAGCTTATGCAAATCAGGAAACAAGAAGAACATTTAGCAGGGATGCTGTCCAGTCTTTCCAGTGGAGTTCTTTTAGTGGACGCATCTTGGACTTTGTTTCCTCCTAGTTCAGTTTTAGTTTCTCATGGATGAGCACAGGCACCATTTCAGATTCTCCCAGGATTCAAGTTTAAACTGTAGACCACCTACTCCAGCACATTTTAAGTTATAATTTGATTTCAATTAGAAGCCAGCTGTTAATTCTAACTTAACTTAATTTAAAAACCAAAAAATTCTCATTAAATTCTGTGAAAGCATTTTCTGAAAAGAACCATATGGAGGATGCATTGCCACACGCCATGTGAAGGTCATTGCTTTAAGCTGTGGGACCTTCTGCTCTCTCTGCAGAAGAGATTTAATTGCTACTTAATGCTGGAATTGTGCTACCTGGAGGGAAGGGGCCAGCAAATAAAAACTGTCCATGCAACTACTAGCCATCTTCATTTTCTGGGTTTGACAGTGATATGGCTCCCCAAACACTTCTGTAAGATCTTAGGAAAAAAGTTCTGAAATCTGAACTCCTCTCAGTATTTCTTCCCCCAGTCCACTAGAAGTTTGCTGAAAAGGAAAGGTTTGGTCTCTAGTGATATCTTCCAAAAAGTATTTTCTGAAGTGATTAGAGCTGTTACAAACTTGATTTATTCTGCACAGAACCACAAACTGTTGAAGCATCTTCAAGCCAAAGAAGATTTTGAAATTTTTATCACTTAATATAGATTTTAAATTTTAAAAAGCCACCATGGATGCTTTTATGGGCATCATAAATATGAGCCATCTCCTCCATGAGAAAATTTGTATTTTCTCCCATTTTTTAGAAATTGGGCTACATGTACATTTGACAATGGAACAAACTTCCAAACTGTTTTACTAGTGAAGTCATTTTTAGTGATATTTAAACAGATGCTTTTGAGCTGAGATATGTAGATGTTGGGTTGTACTTCTGTCATGCTGTGACATCACCTCTTACTGTCCTCTAATTCACAGTTTTCTGTTCTGTTTCCCAGCATTTACACAGTATTTTTTCCACTGGTAGTAGGCTGGTTTCTTATTGCACCAAACTGACTAAGGAAAAACTTAATATCCTTGACAACAAGAAGTACTACTTAAGAGCCGCTCCTATTTCTTCTCCCCAAAATACATTATGAATTTTAGATAAACTTTACTGATATGCTTGGTATTTCCAGTGTGCTGGGATTCTTTGTGTTCCCTCTGTTACAGATAGTTGTTCAGGCACTGCAGTGTTCCCATTACTCTATTCTCTGGCAGCTGGTGAAAATCACTGAAGGCTCCCCTTCCAAAGTAAGTAGGCATTTGATCGTACAGATTTTACTGAAGAAACAACACTTGCCTAAAAAGACATTAGACCTGATTCTCTGTAACTCCACCCACTGTAAGCATCATTTTATGTTGTTGTGAAACAGATATAAAATGTCGGTGTTTCAATTTATTTGATACTTCAGAATCTATTTAACATCGTGCATATGTCTAAATGAGCTATACAAACAGCAGAAGCTTGTCTTCATCAGGATTTTATACTAGCTGATTTTTATGTTTTTATTGCTGAAGATACTTAATGCACTTTATTGTCAGCACAGCAGTTTGTATGAATGGATAAGAAATGTTAACAATGCTTACCTAATAGTTGTAAGCAATACTGTAGATCTGTACAACACAGATAGCTTAATACTTATGTGTATTTACCTTGCTTACCTTTTACTTGCATCTTTTATGTTGCTAAATACCTTGAATACTGTGTTCAGTTTTGGGCCCCTCACTACAAGAAGGATGTTGAGGTGCTGGAGCGTGTCCAGAGAAGGGCAACGAAGCTGGTGAGGGGTCTGGAGCACAAGTCTTATGAGGAGCGGCTGAGGGAACTGGGGTTGTTTAGTCTGGAGAAGAGGAGGCTGAGAGGAGACCTTATCGCTCTCTACAACTACCTGAAAGGGGGTTGTGGCGACGAGGGTGTTGGCCTCTTCTCCCAAGTAACTAGCGATAGGACAAGAGGAAATGGCTTCAAGTTGCGCCAGGGGAGGTTTAGATTGGATATTAGGAAAAATTTCTTCCCTGAGAGGGTGGTCAGGCATTGGAACAGGCTGCCCAGGGAGGGGGTGGAGGCGCCATCTCTGGAAGTGTTCAAGAAACGTGTGGATGTGGCGCTTCAGGACATGGTCTAGGGGACATGGTGGCGCTGGATTAATGGTTGGACTTGATGATCTTGAAGGTCCTTTCCAACCTAGTGGTTCTGTGATTTCTGTGATTCTGTAAATATAAATGTAAGGTTACTAGCAGTGACGATTACTAATAAAAAGTAAGTGCATGCAAGCATAATGCAGTAAGGACAATGTTACATGTAACTCGATTGTTATACTTAGCTTTTCCAGGACCTTTCCTTAGCTCTTTTCTCAATCAGAGGTCAATATCCTGTCTTTTTAGGGCTTTTGAAAAAGTAACACATCAAATTAAAACGGTATGAAAACTGAAGTAGTAAGTGTACTTCCCCATCAGCATAAAAAATAAAAAGATGCTAGTCATAGTACTAACGTACTACTAAAACAAGCATTTTATGCACATAAAAATGATAAAAATACATTGTAAGTTCTTTGAGTTGTTTCAAATACTGACATATTGACATTTAAAAATGGCTACTAGGAAGAAAGAAAGAATAGTTGGTATTCTTTATTCTGGCTTTTGTTCCCATTTTCCTCTGTCAGCTTCTTTAGCTTCTTTCTCTTTAGCATGCTGGTAGTATATAATAATACATTTTGGCTACTTATAACTTGAGAAAACGGAATAAATCCCATTTGTTTTAAACAAACTCAGATTCTCATGACAGTAAAGCATCTGAAGTCCTCCTTGCTAGCAGCATTGTTATCCTTAGGGAGAAATTTCACTTTGACAGAAGAAACTAAGCAACTAAAAGTAAATCCAGGAGGCCATACATTGCTTCAGCACCTAGGTCCATAAAACCAACACACCGAATCTCATTCTAATGCTTCCCTAGTGAGGAAAACTGGACTGCTGGTTCCCTGTGTAGTGAGTGAGTTGAGTGTGAGGAGTCACTTAGAGCAGGTGCACTTAGAGCACCTGGAGACTGTCTTCAACACCTTTAATAAATTTTTCCCCATGTGCTCTTGACTGTTGGGTCTTGTTATGTGTCTTGCCCAATCCCGAAGATGCCCAACAGCTCTGTCCTCCTACTTGCTGGGCCCTTTGAGCAGCAATGCCCAGTCTTGCCTTGCTCGGGGTGAAATGCCAAGACACAGAGCGTTCAATACAGTTCTTATCTCCCTGCACTGCATTACGCCATTTTTTTGAACTTAATACAGTAAATTGCTGCAGTATAACATAGATGGTGCAGAGTGATAGCTGCTAGCATTGCTGGAAAAAAGTTTTATGTTTTGCTGTGTCTGAATTACAGCAAAAGAGTCATATTTACCATAAAGTACAGCTAGCGACTAGTGTATGAAGCATCTGTCTGCACAGACCTGGTCAGAAGCTTTACGTTTTGGTGCTGTTTGCAATATTACCATGATGGTCCAGTTAAACTGCAAGACAACAAGACCTTTATTTATTTCGGTGACTGGGTTTTTCTTGTGGACAAGCTTAGTGCAATTGTATGGCATTGCTGGCTTTTCAAAATAGGATACATTTGTATGAGACACTGTTTTATGAGATGAATGCAGAATAGCCTTGATCTTTCATGTTTTTCTAACACTATTCTGATTCATATTAGTCATAATGTGGTTCATAGGAATGGAAAGAGCTATGAAAGCTCCATTGAGAATGACAGTAGTACAAGTCAATTCTGCTTCTGGAATCCCCAATTAAAATCATAATTACTCTAACCTAGAGAGCTGTTATTAACTTATAGTTTAGGGTTTCACCCCACGCCTTACAGAACTAGCGAGTGCTCTGCATGCTTAGTTCAAGAGGATCACTGCATTAATGCCCTTCAGCTCTTCATACCTGGCCAGCAACCTCAGCTATGCTCACAACAGAAACAGGATAAGTAGAAATCCACAGACCTGAAGTGGTTGCAGCATTTTGTTCTGTGTGGTTGTTTTCTATCAAACTTTCCATTGTAATTTGTTCACTGTGAAAATAAATCTAATCTGCACTATTTCTATCGTTTAATCCATTAGGAGATCATTTTGCCCATGGTTGTTTTATAAACCATGATTTAGGGTTATAAATTAACAGACATTAAAGGGCATCACTTCTAAAGTATGTATGGGAAGATAAAGGCATTAACATGAGCATCTCAAAATGAAAAGTAGTGTATTTCATGAACATTTTTTAAGTATTGAGGCTTTTACAGGAACATTTCTGACACAGTATTTTAGTATGTAGGTCCATCCAGCTTTCTAGTGTTACTTTGCTGTAGCTGTAATGATCTAAGGACATGGGGAGGTGATGGTTTGTAGGCTGAAGTGGTATCTTTAGTAGACCGGTGGATATAGCTGTAAAAATTAGAGAGGCTTTTGGACACACAAGCCTTTCAGGTTTTAAATAAAAGCAGAAGATTACAAAGCAAAGTACGAGCTGAAAACAATTGCTTGATTTCTTTTTAGATAACAGATGTGGTAAACTGTCTCTGAAAGAAAACGAAAAGGTCATTGGTACCTATAGGGGAGTGGGAGGAGGGGAAGGCGAGGTGGTAAGACAGTTACTAGGAGGGAAGCAGGAGCTGGATAGTAGGGAAGAGAAGGAAGGTGAGATCCAAAAGACTGATGGGGAGAAGGGAATGTATAATATGTTATAAAACTAATCTGGAGTCCTTGTTTTTATGTAACCCTTAGATTTATGAATTTTTGTTCCCAGGCTTGTGTTTAGAAAATGATTTTTTAGATTCCTCTTGAGCATCCAGGCTGAGGGATCAGAGATGGAGGGGTTGATTTGTAAGAAATGTTCATCTGCTGCCAGCTGGGTCATTTGTGTGAGTTCATGCTGGTACATAGTAGCTGCTCTGTTTCACCTAGTTAGTTACCATTTAGGCATTCAATGTATAGGGTAAAGTGTATTAACATTTTGGAATTGTGTGATTCAAGGATGTTAAATGTTTCCGTGGGAGGAAGTATTTAGTTTGGTAGTAGTGGACATATATTGTCAAGTTTTACATTTCTTAATCAGGTATGCTCTGCATCCATTAGGTGTACATTTTATTGCAGGGAGCTTGCAGGTAGGATGGGTGTTTCCAGTAAGATTTCTTTCTGAGTGAGTTCTTTGAGTAGAGCTCAAACTTGCTTAATAATTCTGTGTATTGGTTCCAAGGTAGAGTCATACATGGCAACCAGGGGTACAGTTGGGAGCAGAATCTTTTTGGAATTAAGTTAATCTTCATCTGGTGTTCAGATGGCTCTTCCAAAAATACAGCCTCTCTCCTAAGAGGATCGCTTTTGTTTGGAAACCATCCTGGGCATTATGCCCAAGCCCAGGGCACATTTATTGCTTTCTGAGACATAATTTATGTTAAAGCTGTTGGGTATGTTTTGGATTGTGGCTGACTACATGAGGCTGGATGTGTTGGTCTATAGGCTTTGTATGTGTGGAAGGGAAAAAGTGTTTGACTCTTGTGGTTTAAATCAAATTAGGATCATGTCAGCTCATTGATTTATTAACAACACATAATTAACCTGCAGTCAGTGCAACACATCTCCAGGATAAGTATCAGCTATACAGCAGGTAAACCAGAACACTAGACACTTATAATGCTTATGAATGCCTGCAAATTTCAAACCACCCTTCTGTAACTGTTCATAAAGTCATTCTCATCCCCTCCCTAAGACACACACACAGTTTAGAGTTACACATGCACACTCCCACTCTCAGAGGAAAGTGATGTACAAGCCCATAGCCCTTCTTTTGGGAGCATGAGGTCCCCTGCTTATATTTGGCTGCTGTTGGACATGTGGGTGCTCCAGCTTCATGTGTAGCTACACCCACAAAACACTGCACAGTCACATACACGCGCCTGAGGTGTGGGTTCCTGCATGTAGGTCCCTTACAACCCGAAGATTCGATGATTCTCTGTTGCGCTCCATACTGACAGTCCTTCAGATGGATGCGGGCTACTTATGGCTTCCAGCAGGGAGGATGTGCCACCAGGCCTAAGCAGTGGTTGCAAAGTTGGGGTGTCTGACTTGGTTTAACTGCTGCTCTGTTCCACCCCAAGGTTCTTCTCTGTGATCACAACTTTTCATGCTGCTTTTATACTTCTTTTCAAGGTGACTCCTCCTTTTCTCGAAAGTTACTTGGTAATCTCCAGGTTACTGTTTAATCTGGTCACTTTAAGCAAATTCATTGTTAACTTTCCTCTTAGCATTATCAGTTTTTAGGCAAAACCCCCCTCCGAACAGGTAATTTTGGGTGTTGTTCACAGGCACTGTTGCACTCATGTTTTCATTGTATCAGCTGTTTTTTATCCAAGCTGTTACCAAGAGGGTGCTCTGCAGATTCCCTCACGCTATGTAATATCACTTGTAGATTACAATTTTGATCATAGACCTTAAGGAAGTGATATCAGCATAAAAAAAGTTTCAAAGACATTTTAATATAAGGATTATAACTACTGATTATTTGAATTAGCGAGAAAGTGCAAATTATCTACCCTATAATAAAGATTCTACTAGTTAACTTAAAATAACTCTGCCCTAACTCTATACTGTATTTAAAACTCTTTCTCAAGGTGGCCTGTGGAAAAAAAAAAAAAAGGGCATACTGTGGGGTCATTGTCTAAGATCTGAAAGGAAAAATTGATTACTAAAAGGAAGGTTGCAGTAGGTAAGGATGACATGTGTAAGCCTTGAAATATCCATAGTCTAATGCTCTAATCTTTGGTTGTGGTGGTGTACATGTTCAGAGGAGGTTGAGGCCATGACTGTGTGGGCTGTTTGTGGTAAACAACACAGTATTGGTGGGGAAGTGGTTTATACTGTGTAGTTTGTGGGAGCAGTCTCTTGTAGCCTAGGGAAAAACTATTCTTCACATGAAAAGGGGTTTGAGGATGGTTTCAGAGCAAGGTGGTAATTTCTGAGCAAGAGTTCTCTTGTCTGTAGATTTCGGTGAGCAAGTACAGTCTTGAGGTAGGAGATTGGGGATTAGATTATACAGTTGTTTCCATCTAGATTTCTTCATGTCTTCAACAAACCACGTGCCTGGGACCATTGTACTATGCACTGTACGTGCATGTAATGAATAGGAAATCTTTGCAGAAGAATAGAGTCCGTTAAAAAAAGTAAATGCATGAATAGAGCAAACATTCAGAAGCAAGACAAAGGCGATACAGTTCTGAAAGAGCAGCAGCCAGACGAGCCAAATGCATAGTTATTGCAAAGTGATTAGTAGGCAGAGGAATTAGTAGAGGGGATTTAAAGGGGGATTTAAAGAACAACATAGTGACTCGGTGACTTTTCGTATTTATATGGGCACAATGAAAGCATAAAATGCTGAGGGGAAGAAGAGAGTCACAAGGTGCAAAAGGTTGGATCATGTTCCACAGTTGAGTTGAAAGCTAATGGCTTTTCAACATTGTAAAGTTTATCGTAGAATTGAAGTTGGAAGGAGAAGGAAGTTAATACTGCAAATAAGTAATCTGGAGGATAGGCAGTGGGATAATAGGAAGAAAAGCATTGGGTTTGGTAGATGAACATTAGCAAAAGCACAGCATTTCTACATGGCTTCAATGGAAAAAACAAGCTTCAATTTAACGCTAGAAATGAACTGAAGAATTTTAGATAGCAGCCTTGTGAACACAGTTGTTAGGTTACAGGTAGTGGCAAAGCCAGTACAAGTCCTTTCTTTTAGCAGCTCATTCTTCTTCCTGCCATGGACTAGTTAAATTTGAAGATGTAACGCTGTACAGTTCAAGAAAGAGTTATTTTTATCCTGTGTCACTTAAGTGATCCAGGTCACGGTGTGACCCCAGGGTTTTACCCTTAGCAACCAAGAGGACAGTAAAATTTTTTATACTGTTTTTTCTGCTGAAGCCAGAATATCAGGTAATCACACCTCAAGAGCCTTGGCTGTGCGCCTGACAATGGTAAAAGACTTGAAAATCTAATTAATTTTTTTTTCTTCCCATTTTCTCTTTTTTAAAAAATTACCACTTTCTAGTAGTCTGGGGATTTCTCCAAATTTAGAATAGTCCCAGATGGCTCTGTTGCACTGTTCAGTCGGGCTTTCTTTTGCTGTCTGTAACTTTTCAAAATGAATCTTTGTCATGCTATCAAGAGAGGATAATAAATAATGTGTACCTGTGTGTTACTCATTCTTTGACAGAAAGAAATATGGGAGACATGCTCATTCACTTTTTAACCTTTATATAGGATTTTTCGTAGGTTTTAGTTTCTATGTTGAATTCATTAACATCTAAATGGAAGATAATTGTGATAGAAAGTAGGAAGTTATTGAAGTGATTGTAATCCCAGTGTTTAAAGGTGTAAATCAGATGACTATGTAACAGTGAACTGATAAGCCTGGCATCAGTCCTAAGTAAAATCTTGTACTGGCTGATTGAAAACACAGTCAATACAAGGCTGAAAGGCAGAACGAACATGGCGAAGAGATAAGACCGGAAGGAACAAATAAATTTGTTCTTGAGAAGATTGCATTTTTGACTGATAAGGGAACTAGTTGAAATACCAGTTTCTGTAAGTCATTAGTATCACATTGCATTTCAGGTGAATATGTGAATTTAATGTAATTCATATTCAATAGCTCAAAGTTGATTAATACATTAGAAAGAAATTGTAAGTGGGAAATCATCACACAGTGGGATAGCTTCTGAGGCATTCCAGGAGAGATGCGTTCTCTGCTAAAAACTGATAATTTTTATCAATCATAGGGGAGGGTAAAGTGAAGACGTTTAAAGTGTGGATGATACAGATTAACAAAAGTACAATTAAAAGAACAAAGAGGTATTTTAATGCTGCCAAATGCAAGGCTTATATCTGGGAACAAGAAGGCTGATCAGTGGAAAGTTGGGACTTAAAATACAGCAGATCTGTCTTACAGATCGTGTAATGGCAGTGTAATGTGGTGGCACAAAGGGATCCTTGGCTATGTTATCAGAAAAAAATTTAGTAGGAATCGGAAGGTGAGGCCGCTCATAGACCTTCAGCGTCCATGTCAGAACATCACAGTCACTCTATTGAAAATGATAAGTCGTTCAGAGATTGAGGAACGGGGTGCTTTGGCATGCTTGCAGACCTGCCTTCTGTTGTGAACCAGTACAGGAAGAACATATGGACTGCAAAAAGGCTTTTCCGTAAACAAAGAGTAACAAGATCTTATGATAGGAAGCAATAAGAAAAGCTAAAACTAGAAATGAGACACATGGACTGAACAGCCAGCATAATCAAAAATTGGCATTTTTAGCAAGGAAAATGGTGCATATACACTATGTAGATTCTTTCGATTCAGGTTGGATGTCGTTCTGTAGGGCATGCTATCCTCCATCTGAAAGCTCATAGAGGTATCATGGAGGAAGGTCTGCAGGAGCGGTAGGCCAGCAGTCTTGGTGTCAACTAATAGCTCTTATGATCCCTTCTTTACATGAAACCAGTGATGGTGAAAACTGGGAAGGGAAAGGTTCCAGGTGCCTGTGAGAATTGCTGTTGGCTGGGGGGCCCTGGCAGAGCTGCTGGTGGCATGGGAGGAGATCTGAGTGCGAGGAGACACCTGGAACTGCAGGCAGGGCAGAAGCGTTTGTATCACCGGAGCGATGCAGAGTAGCAGAATCTATGAATCGATGCTGACAAAGCTAGTGTGTTTGACAAAATGTGAAGCTAACACAAAGTCCTAGTGATTTCTGGTTTCTTCTATGTGTTTGGTTTATTACTAACATAACCAGAGTAACTGTGTAAGTCTGTGCCAAGAAGCCATGTACATCTTCAGTACGTTTCTTGGTTACGATAGAGATGGTCCTTGCTTTTCACATAGGAAAGTTCCTTTTCTGTAATTGTTTTGCTGCTTCCATGTGACCATTTGCTGTGTTCTTATGATTATGCTCCAGTAACTTATGTTGTTTTGATTTGTTTTTACTCGTTTGTCTTGTTATCCGTAAAAAATAAGTATCCATCAGGGTACAGCATTGATTCCCCCAGGTCAAAGTACGCAGATTTCCTATTGAACCTGCCACTTCTAGTACCCACATTTAAAATACACGTCAGTTGTCTCTTCATTTATCTTTTCCACTTGCAAATCCTTCTTGTCTCCAGATTGACAAACTTCCCTCCTTCTTCCCTAAGTTGTCAGATTCCTGTGATTTGCCTTCACGTTTCCCATGTCTGCAGGCACTTAGGATAATGGTTTTGTTGAACTTGAGGCATTCACTGATATCTTACTTTTTTGTTCATGTTGACTTACCTTAGTACAGATTTCTTTATAAACCACAGGTAGGCTGACCTCGATGTATTAAACTTTTTGTTCTGAAATGTTTATAATTTACATTCAATATAAAACACAGACAATTTTAACTCATTATGTATTGTTTTATTCTTGTTATTTATTACAAGGAAACCTTGGGTCATTCCTCTGAAAATTAATGATCTGTTTTACTCTATGCTGTATGAATAGCATACGTTTTCATGGCCTCTCCATTTTTGTTTGGCTAGTTTATAGGATTGAATGTATGAAATTATCACCACCTTTTTATTATGCTTTTTCCTAGCAACCTTTTATTAATATATATGTATCACCCCTTTTTAATATTTATTCTAGGAGGACTTGTTGGTATTGAGGAAAACTGTGAAATCCTTCCTGGCTGTCTGCCAGCAGTGTCTATCAAATGTCAACACTCCAGTCAAAGAACAGGTAAAGGAAATGTCTTGTCACGTGCTTTTACAAAAGTGTGAATATTAAACTGTAGTAAAACTCAAACATGGCACTATACCAAACTTAAAGTAAAATCACCTGTGCATTCTGTCTAAAGAAAACTGAACAAATACTCCATAAGAAGAGCCGTATTAAAAGCACCTTCAAAGCACAGCTAATGTCAAATTCATTTTTGATATAACAATATCAAATGCTTAAGCTCATGTTCAGCTGTCACAACTTCAGGCATCTAACTCAAACACCTAAAATAAAGGCCTATTTCTTTAGACACTTACTGCATTAATAGATGGAAATAGGCACTTTCAGAGGGTGATTGAGACCTCAAATGGGCTGAATCTTTCCCTGTATTCTAGATTTTCTTGCATGCTATTATTGACTCATAGGGAGTCTAGAGTGACTGCTTTCCGGCCAAAGCCAAATGCCAAGAAGCTAGATCAGAAAAATCTAAGCCTCAATGATATTTCATTATTTTGTTATCCTAATAATTCAGTTAAATGTAGTGGTAAATACTAATTATTGTATCTCTGTTTCCTTTTGTGGCTAATGGGAGAAGATTGAGGCTTCTAGCAGTACAGGTCATTAATCAATATACAGGTATATTTTCTAGCAGAAAAAGAAGTTAATGAATTTTACAAAAATACTCTGAATAATGCTAAGAAGGTAGTGTCCTGACACCATCCAAAATCGTCACTTGACAAATATTTGTGTCCTTGAGAAATCAAAGTTAAACATCCATTTACATGGTGCCTTCATGATATAAATATCAAGATCTGGAGATTTTTTTAGATTCTCATCAACTTAATCATTATAGTTTAGGTTGCTGTGCTTCCCTGTTTGTAGCCTGACTGAAAACTTAAGTGCGTGCGTCTCTCTGTGCACACATATGTCAGCAGTATATATGTGAAATATGATTACACAGTACAGTATCAGATTTTCTTTATGGTTCAGTCTAGTTATCCAGTTCTTTATTTTAGATTTTTGAAAAGCCACACCTGCATTGAGTGGGAAGCTTCTGCTATGTGTATTTAGAAATCGAAATAAAAGGAATTAAATTGAAGGGCTTTTTGAAATAATCACCAGTCTCTGCAAAAACAATAGCTGGTTTGCTTGCTGAGATTTTGCGAATATATGCAGATTCATATCAAGTAGTCTGTTGACATCTTTTACTTGTCTGCAAACTGCATTTCTATCAGCTCTTCCAAGATTTTGCAAAGACTGTGACTAACTGTCCTGTATTGTTTGCCTGTGTTTTGTCAAAGATAATACTTCTTAAAAGACAGTTTTATTTTTTTGAAAGATAGCTCTGCTTGGCATTTATGCTGTATTCTGCAAGTTGATAAATATAAATATTAAAGGCTCAGATATGTCACTAGTTTATTTTTAAAAGACTTATGTGTCATTGTCTTCCTGCAGATTTAACTTTAGTAATTGTTTTTTAATATTCTAAGTAGTTACCCTTGGCATATTTTCTTAATATTGTATAACGTGAAGATACCATCCAGCTTCATGAAAATACCAACCATTCTAGCATAAGCTAGCACTAATGTCTTTCTGCATCAACAAATGGTAAACGATCTTTCCCATTACTGCGATGTTTTTGTTCTTGGTATATATTAACATGGTGTTATTCTCTTATTATTAGTGGCCTTTTTTTTCAGTGGTAATTGGTAAACTTTTCTTAGAAGCTCCTTTGCACTTCACAGTTCTGCGGAAGCTTTCAAACTTCAGCTAGACAAAGCCATGACCAACCAGACGTAGAGACAGCAAGTGTCCCAGTCAGAGCAGGTTGGACTAGAGACTTCAGAATTCCCTTCCAACTAACACTTCCATGATCTTTTTAATTTTCTTCCTTTAAAAAGAATTTTTCTGCGAGTGTAGGACTGTTTTTTAATCCTTTTGTTTTACTGGATTTTTTTTTTTTTGAGAATTCTGTGTAAATTATATTGTCTCCCTACCATATTTGATTCTTAATCTATACATTCTTTCCAGAGAAGATCAATGTACACATTAAAGGAGGGGAAAAAAGTATTAAGTATTTATAGAAACAGGTCTCAGACATTTCAAATTTTCCTAGACTATTTGAGTGAAATAAATCTCCTGTGACTAGAGGCATCAACAATGTATAGACATCTGTATCAGAGTCTACTGCGGTCTTTATATTGGACAGAAATAAGCACTTTCAGTGCATAATTCATATGCTCTTTTTTTAGAGGTCTACATTAGAATGAGATTAAATTCTAATGTGTTTCAAAGGAGTTTAGAGCAGCTGAGATCGTCACTGAAATGAATCACAACTGTTTGGATCCAGTGGAGGAAAACCCCAAATACTGGCATCTGTCTCCAAAGTCTAAGTAGAACATGGTTTACAATGATTTGCATTTTGTTCTTGCCTGAGTATAGTTCATTCAGATTTTATAACATAGTCCAAGAAATAAGTGAGCTGCTATGATGTTCAGCATTCACAAAGATTTCATTTTGGAGGTTTGTAGAGCAGATTGCTCTCACTCACAACTTTTCCTTAGGCTTGGCTCAAAAATATGTTTAAACACACATTTAACTATCTTTCTGTTCAGCTGTTTGTCGAGGGGGAATACAGGGCTGAATTAAAGCCTGCACTGGATTTCATCACCCTGTCAGAGCTATTCCACAATCTCTCTTCAGCTGGAAACACCTTTGGCCTACCACCTACCTGGGAATCGTGATTGACACTGCCCTGAGTGAGACTCCTGCAGGCTTCTGGGGCAGGAGACAGCACATCCAGCATAGATCTTCTAGGAGTCTTTTTACACATTCATACTTTGAACCTTCCTCTCTTTCTCAGTGTTCAGAACCTGAGGTTAAGGGTAGAGAAACGAAGATGATTAAAAAGTACTTTCTGAAAGGTGCTCAGGTGTTGAATATCATGCAGATGAATACAGCTGGCTGTGATGCTTGTGACATAAGCCATTGGGGAAAATAGTGTGATTCGAGAGTATACAGATAAGCCCGTGAAAGCAATAAAGTTATTAATGGCTGCCTTCTTTCTCTGTTCTTCGGTAACGAGGTTATACTAGTAATGAGCATAAATCATTGAAAATTCTGCCCTGGTTAGTTCTTACCTAGATTTGAAAGCTGTGCAGAGTTACTTTATTCCTTTTGCAGAGAATTGCTGCTGAAATTCTGCAAGGATTTCTTTGCTTACAGCTGCTTCTCCATATTTTCAGGGTCTGACAGTGACTTAGCTTGGATTGTCACTCATAATGTTACTCATTTTTTGCTTGTTTAACTTTTCTAGCTGTGTATCAAAAGAAGTGTTTTTTCTTTACTACAAATTTGGCTACAGTCCTTGGATCAGAAGTAGATTTAGAGTTCTTTTCATAGAGGAGAAATGGAAGTTTAATATGGATCATCCTGGACATCGAAGAGGTAGTAAATGCAGTTCCTTACATAGGAATCAAAGGCATTTTAAAGTTAGGGGAAACTGTCATGAACACATTTCACAGCACACAACTATAACTGAGTACAGTTAAAGAAGGACATTTAATAATAGCAGGGGATGTCTGGAGATTAGATAAATGATATTTTATGTTTTACTTGATGTATGCTTCTTATTGCATTCATTCTCTCTTGCCTTTCAGGCTTTCATGCTGCTCTGTGATCTCTTGATGATATTTAGTCATCAGCTGATGACTGGAGGTCGAGAAGGTCTTCAGCCTTTGGTGTTTAATCCAGATTCAGGCCTCCAGTCAGAACTTCTCAGTTTTGTGATGGACCATGTCTTTATTGACCAAGATGATGAAAACCAGAGCATGGGTATGTTTATCTTTCATGTTTTTTACTTAGCTTTTTTTCATAACAGATACAGAAGAAAGAAGAAAACAGAATTTTCAAATCAGTTTGCTCAAATGTTTTCAGAATTATTCCTTCTTTATTTTTAGGAGGTATGAATATGAAATAGCCAATGTTCAGTTCTACTTGTGTTAAAGACGAATAAGTACTTATAAAGTTACCTTTCTAAAACGAAATGTTTTCAGAAGACATGGGAGGGCCCTCTAACTATATGCTATAAACCTGGAAAAAATTATTCTTCCTTTACTGATCTGTGTTATTCTTAATTTTTATTTCCAAAACAGTATAGTCTTAATTCAGCAGCAGACTTCATTTAATATGGCTTCAAGGGAAGGAAGTACAATGGAACAGTACATAGAAGAGAAATCCTTTAGAGTTACTAAACAGAGTTATAGGATCCTGAAGGCAAACCTTACCAGCAAAGCTTTAGGCAAAGAAGGCCTTAAGAAACTCTGATGTTACTAAATAAACACCCCTTCTGCTCCTCCCCGAAAATAATCAAGTCAAGTTCAGGACATCATTGATTTGGTTGGAGACTAGGAAAGTACTTGGGAAAGTATTGTGTGTGCTTGCTTGCTTCCTTGCTCTTTCCTAGGCACCTGTGCATGGCCACGCTTTGAGAGGCCAGAGCTTGAGGTGACCCCATCTCTACCTCCTCACAAGGATGACTTGAGATTTTTGGCTTTCAGTCAGGGAGAGGCAGATTTGTCATTTAGGTCTGGTTTTAAATAACTTGGTGCTGCTGGTGTGTGTTATAAATGCCTAAATGCAAATACAGAGGTACTCAGTTTCTGAGTCCTACATAGCTTTGGAGAAGAGATGGGTTCTCAAGTAGTTAAACTGTGTGAAAGAGCTGCTGAGTGCATACTGCAGTGCTCTTTTTGGCACATTTTCTGAATTTCTGCTGAACTCAGTTACTTGTATGTTAGCATGACCCATAGGTGCTATATTAGATCATTTAAGAGCGCAATATGTAGAAGTAAGGTCTTGGAGAGTGTATTCTTGCTCTAAATGTGCTTTCAGTCTTCTAGTTCCCTAACTCCTCAGTAGCTAACATCTTTGTTGAACATCTCTTTAAGGATTCCTAGGAACAATACATTTTGAAACACACCTTCATCAGAAATCTACGTGCAGTTAATCATACTCTGTGAGTTCAGTGTTCAGAATAATACATCAAGGATAGATTTTAGGAGGACAGTGTCTAGTATTTTTTTGCTCTTTAGCAAAATTGCTGTTCTTTAACAACCTGTGATTGGACTGGGAAGACAGCAAAACGATGGATGAAGATCTTTGCATGTAATCTCCATTCCCTAATGCTGCTCTGACTCCATGAAGTCAATCTGACCATTTATAACTTTTGGTATTCAGAACACATGAGTAATGATAAAAAGAAGTTAAGAAGGCGGGGGGAGTGTGCTAGTGGGCTTCAATTCTGTGGATTAAAGCATCTCGGGATTAAAACCTGCATGCATATCCACAGTCAACTCCCCTGCTCATAAGAGATTTCCTGTGATCAAATACGTTATTTAAGTACTGTGGCTTGGTGGAGACTCTAGTAGGAGTGCAGCAAGAGAGTCTCAGTGACACTGTCCCCTCTCCCCCCGCCACAGCTCTGTACTTCTTCAGACTGATTGGAAGATTCCCTCCAAGAATAAGCTCTTCTAAATATCACAGAATACTTACTTTTATCACAACTGTTATAGCTGATTTCATTTTCTTACATAAGTTGTGGAATATACTTTTATTAAATGATACTATATTTAACATTTTATGTGTATAGTTTCATATTCATTCACAGAGTGGAGTCTTACATGGGGACTTAGTACTTATGATGCTGCCATTCAATGTTAATGTTTCTTACAACTCAGTTTTACTTCCTGTTGTTATTGATGCTTTAGAGCCATCAATTTTATATCTGAAAATCCAAGGCATGCCATAGTAGTACTGCTGCTTCTGATTTTCCTTATGTGAAATATTTATAGCTTAGTCATGTTAAAGAAGCATCTCCAAATGTCCTGTGTTTCAGAAGTTAGGCACAAAGCATTCAACAGGTCTTCTCTGTGGCCTTTCATGGGCTAAATAAGTGATCCAGTTCCATGCGGATTATGTTCAGTACCTACTCAGGCCTATAGATAGCATCCTTGATCAATGGTGTGTCATGTTCCTGAACTTTCCTGAAGGTCTTAACATAGGCAGGACTCAAGAATTACCACCTTTCATTTTGTCTTCTCTTGCAACAATCCTTGCTTCATTTTAAAGAATTGATTTTTTTTTTTTCTAAAAGCTGTTCTTCAATAATGTTGCTTTAGAACATAGCAGTTACTTATAAACATTTTTATTGTTGATGCTTTCAGAGGGAGATGAAGAAGATGAAGCTAACAAAATAGAAGCTTTGCATAAGAGAAGAAACCTTTTGGCTGCCTTTAGCAAGCTGATCATTTATGACATTGTGGACATGCATGCAGCAGCAGATATCTTCAAACACTATATGAAGGTACAGCTCTGTGTATTCTCCTCTTCCTAACTGAACACATTGTAGGGTCAGGTCACCTGTTTCTCTGCCTTCCAGTGTAGTAGTTAAAGGCAGAACTCTTTTGAAAGCTTTTCCAGCCTTATTTGATTTCTTGTCATTACACCTGCCACTGAAGCAGTAAGCTCTGAACTTCCTCTCCTGTGTAGCAGGAGTGCCTTATTAAAGGCAGCACCAAAAGTTGCTGCTAGAAGGGGCTGAGTATTGCCAGAGAGGCTCCCATCTACAGAGAATTTCTTAGCCTGCTCCTCAAATTCATTCCTAGAATCCACAATAACAATTACCTGTTCAGTGTCATGTTTCACATCGATAAGGATGCACTTTTTTTCTGTGAGAATGTGCTGAGTGCCTTGCCAACTTATTTCTGCTTCCATACAGTGTTTAGGCCCAATGAAATTCAGAAAGACTTGCTGCTCAGCTACCACTGCACCCTGTACTTGCGAGTTTACCTGCCAGGGAACAGGAACATTGGCAGTCCTGCCAAGCAAAACAAAGCCCCTCAGATTATATCAAATTGCCAGGTATACCTCACCTGTCTCTGCAAGGGCTTAGTCATCATAAGGATGACAATGAATGAGGAAAACCTGGAGTGGGGAGCAGGTCCTTTACTACAGTGTTTGAGATGTTGATGAAATACAAAGTATTTAACTTTAAATCCCCATTCTCCTGTTCATTAGGAGCACGCAGTACAATAAAATCTCCAGTGCACACTCCAGCCACCAGCCAGGTCGCTGCTCAGGGTTAGTCTTGCTTAGGGACTTTTTTCCAGAGCAGGAGTTTCAAACTGAAGCTGTCGCAAGCCAGGTTTGTTTCCTACCTGCTGCTCTAGGTTCGTCTTTCCCTCTCCCCGCATAGCTCCTTCTCTTGAAATTGGGGCAGAGTAAGAAAAATTGAATTTAAATTAGAATATACAATAAAAGGATCTCTGTACCAAAGAAAGCCGGAGCAATATTTAAGAGGGAATGAAAATAAGTGGTTGGAAATGCATAAATACTAATCAGGCTGAAAGAACACTTGTTGAAGAAAAACCATTTATATTCTCAGCCTGGAAGTTTTAATGGTTATACAGGCTTTTCTACCCAAATGGTCAGTACCACGGGCAGTTGTTTTCAGCAACCATTCTCCTAACATAAAGAAAATCAGCACTTCATACTCACTAATTCCTTACTCGGCTTTCTGGCTTTGCTGAATCCCTTTCTTGGCCACCTAAATCACCTTGCATTGTATATGGAGTGTCAGACCGTGTGCTAGTGTCTGTTCACACCTACTTCTGGAAGGGTATGTTGGTTCAATGTAATGTTGTTCCTTAGAATTTGAAGCCATTGGTCACTTTCATCAAATATTTAGTTTGGGCTAGGAAATACTCTTTTGTTTGTTTTCCAGCATATTTGTTACAAAAGATATTAACAAATACGGAAGTTCCTTATCACTGGGTGCAGGCTACCAATCAGTTTAAATTTTGGTATTGAAACATTGCCTCCCACTCACAAGAAATCGCAATCTGAGACTGGGTTTTTTGGCAACTGCTGCCTTTTCAAAACAAGAATTACAAGTTCTATCAGGAAAATTGTAAGAAGTTGTGTAAGAGGTTCTATTTAAAGACTTAAAGAGGGTTTTTTCCACATTTTTTTCTAGTACTACAATGACTATGGAGATATCATTAAGGAAACCCTAAGCAAAACAAGGCAAATTGATAAAATCCAGTGTGCAAAGACACTCATTCTCAGTTTGCAACAGGTAAGAATATTGATTGGTTTGGGTTTTTTTTTTTTAGAAATGCCACACTGCAAAAAAATACTGGACAGGATTTTCTCTGGTGCCCTTTACAGTGAAGTGAAAAATACTACACTTCTGTTAAGAGATTATCTGCTCCTTGATTCAGGTTGTCACTGTTCATTTGTCTCTGTAATCTTTATCTCCCTGAGGCCACAGTGGCAAAGTTTTGGTCAGATTAAAGTGGAAGAAAGGGAGAGAACATCCTTGAAGGCAATATGGTCCAGGCTGATTCATAGCATTTGTTTCCTGGTACCTAGTGAACAAGAAGAATTAGGATGACTTTTTCGTCTTATAATTAGCTGGAAGTAGTACATCTTCTTTCCATTTTGTCTAAATACTGATTGATTTTTCAAACTTCAAGCTAATTAGTTTAAGTCTTCCAATATTGTTAAACATGTTTTTTCCCTGAAAAATTTGCTTTACATCAACCATAAATTATTGGCTGATGGTGAAATCCATTCTTGTTCTGCCAAAAAGCACAAAGGGTGTACTTCACTAAATACCATTTAGACCCTTGAAGTACCAGCTATATCCATCACATAGAGAAATTACTTCTATAAATTAGATGTTTTCAAATCAGCTAAGCCTCCCAGAATTCATTCCAGAATCCTAAGGGGTTTCCTGTAGCAACCTGGAAGCGGAGATACATCTATGAAACCTTGAGAAAAACATGTATTTCCAGAAGAACCGGCAGGCGTCAAAGTAGCTCCTGTCTTGAAAACCTGGAGAGAGGAAGAAGCCAGGTGCCGTAGATCATGCCGTAGATCAGTCAGCCTAACATCATTTCAAGGGAGGGGGAAAAAAAAACTAGACAAGCTATTTGTGAGTGCCTAAGTGATAGGTAGCCAGTATGAATTTGTCAAAGAGAAGTCATGTCAAATGAAGCTGCTTTCATTAATTATATGGTAACAGAGCTTGTGGATATCAGAGAAACAGTAGATTTAATGCAGCTTGATTTAATATTGCTACTGACACTGTCTCCCTTGATACCGTCATTAGCAAGTTAGGAAAATGTGGTCTAAATGGTAATACCAGAAGAAGATACAGAACTGATTGGAAAACTACTGAGTGGTTCGTTGTTGTACTGAAGGGGCGTTATCAAGCAGGCTTTGAAGGCATTTATCCAGTAATGCTTTTCAGATATTTATTACGTCGTGAATGATGGAAGAGCAATTTTCCTTCCCAAAATTCATAGATGATGCTGATCTGATGGGTGATGTAGGTATTTTAGAAAACGTAAGAATGCAGAATCATCTTGATCAGTTGGGAGAATAGTAGATGCAGTTCAGTGAAGGTAAGTGCAATGTTCTGTTTAAGAGTTTTCGTCTGCACGAGTACAAGATGGGGTACAACTGTCAAACAGCAGTTACACAGCAGAAACTTTGGAAACGGATTAGAAGTTGAATATAAAAGATCTCTGCTACACCTTTGTGAAAAAATTCATTGTAATATCTACTCTTAGCCGTAACAGCTTAAGAACAAAAGTCTCTCAAGAAAAGTGTTTTCTAGCTCACAGATTTTAACAACAGAATTCTTTCTGTAGCTGTTTAATGAGCTTGTTCAGGAGCAAGGTCCCAATTTGGACAGGACATCTGCCCACGTTAGTGGAATTAAGGAACTGGCCCGTCGATTCGCCCTCACTTTTGGCTTGGATCAGATCAAGACAAGAGAGGCTGTGGCCACACTACACAAGTGAGTGGTGGTAAATAAACTAGATTTTTATATTAAAAGTTTTTAGATTAAAAGTTTTGCTCAGCATGCCTTTTTCTGAAGGTACATAATCGTAACAGGTCCTGGAATAATGATGTATTTTTTTCCAATTTACGTACAAAAATGATGGGGGATGTACATGTAGTATGTATGTAAGAGAGGAAGAAAAACTAGCCACTACCTAATAATTTGTTGGAATTTATTGGAATGGCCATATTCATCTATCTTGGGTAAAGCCACTGGTATTTACACATATTTGTGTGGACTGTATCTAACAACTGTAGATAGTTCTTTGTACCGCACTACTTGTGGATTCTGTAGGCACCAAGGGCTTTCATAAAAATATATTCCAAAAATACCTTGGAAATATTTTTTTTAAGTGGATTAAAGCTTTTTATGTAACTGCTGTGTAGGAAAGTGTAGAAAGGTGCCGCCAAATTTAAATTAGGACTTTCCCATGCCATTAGAAAGTTAAAATATTAAAGTCTGCTATCTCAGAGACTAAGTCATTAAGACCAAGATATGCAAAGCATGATGAAAATGCTACCAGACACTTTCTTGTGCCAAACAACAAAAGAGAGGACATGCATGCACCCTTATTGGATAATGTGAAAGTAAATTGCTTTCTTTAGTCTCAAATGATAAAGCAAAGATAAGGCAGAGATGGATGTATCAATGTCCTGGTAAGTAAACTCTCTTCACTAATTCTTAATGCAGATGTTATATCTTGTTCTATCTTACATATTCTTATTGGAAGCTTCTGCTTCATGCAGAAACAAGAAAGGGCCAATTGACTATCCCTGCTGTAAGGCAGTGGCTTTCAGCACCTGCCAAGTTTCTTAGATGGTGGTAAGTTCCTTCTTACCATGTGACTGGCAATATGTCGTCTTTGAGATTGAATCCTCACAAATCGAGAGGGAACATTTGATTCACCTTTGTCCAAAAGCAGCTGTTTGCTAGTAAAGGGGGGCGGGGGGGAGAAGGAATGTGAAGAATTTAATCACAGTTCAGATTTTAGGCAGCATTTAGAGGCGATGGATGACTTTTTTTTAATCTTAATTACAAATGCCTGAAAATGTTAATATGTCTTTACTGTAGAGATGGCATAGAGTTTGCCTTCAAATATCAGAATCAAAAAGGACAAGACTATCCACCTCCTAACCTTGCTTTCCTTGAAGTGCTTAGTGAATTTTCTTCTAAACTCTTGCGACAGGACAAAAAGACTGTGTAAGTAACGCTCCATTTTCTTCTGTGGGCTTTTCTGGGCTCTGTTAATCACTGTAGTGTGTGTTTAAGCCCTCTGCTTTGAGGTTTTCGCACTCTTAATGGGGGCTATAGGAAGTCCTAGTGAGACATTTCCCATTCATAGTTACTCATTGTTTTATATTTTAAAGTAATAAAAATAAATGAGAAAAGGAGAATCTGATCCACTAATGAGGTGAGCTTGAGACCTCACAAAACAATGTTCCTTAAAATTTCCCATGGGACATTGAAAATAAAAAACAATCTTTTTTTCAGACTGGAAGAAAAAAGAAATCAAATGTTAGCAGTGCGGGAAATTTACAGGCCTGTAAACACTGCAGTAACATCTGTTTCTGTTAGATATTTACATAAAATGTAAACATATTTCTTGTTTATTTTGATATATTGAGTTAAACTGGGAAATAAGGATTTGTCAAGACTCCAGTTACTGGCATAATAGGGTAAAGAAAGAGGCTGAGGGAGGACACTTGGTTAGGACTGAGCCGGGTGGTAGAGACCTGGGAGGCTAAAACAAGCAGCTTGAATTTGTTACAGCAAGTAATTACTGCAGGTGAAATACTGGAAATTAAATAAATCAGACATATCGTTGGTAAGATCTGAACAAAGAGCAAGAAATACTGTTTTATGAGAAACATTTGATCAGACTGTCAGAGGGGCTGTGGATATCAACAGAACTGGCAAAGAGAAAACTGCATGAGTAAGGACAAGTTCATAGTAAAGACATGTTGTCAGCATCACTGCAGAGATAACGCTCTATGTTTCTAATAAGTTACGTAGCAAATATCCAGGATTTGGCCACAGTGCGGAAGTAGTAAGGGAAAAAGGAAGAGGACTCCAGTCAAAAATGAGCCAAGCACTATGTGCCCAGTGTAGAACTGAGTTCTTTGAATAACTTTATGACCATTTAAAAAATGCAGTTGCCAAATCTTCTGATTTATGGTTATAGATATCTTTCCAGTCAATTTTCTGACCACAATAAGTCCTATCTAGCTACTGTAACTACCTCAACTGACTTTCTGTCAAACTTTTGAGTAGTTTTTCTGTGAAGACATTTGTTTTAAAGGACTCTTCTAGTACGGTTAATTATGAATATTATAGCTTTATCTGTGTTGTAAGACATGCATTTTGGTTAACGTATAGTTTTTAATGTATACACACTTGAACCAGTTTCATTTTTTTATTGTATCAATAATTTGTCAGTTCAGCAAACACCGTAGAAGAAATAGTTAAACGAACTTGAGAATTGGATGATCCAATTGGGCTAGCTTGGCACTCAGTTTTTGAAACTGCTCTTCATTGTTATATCCTTGAATCTCGTCAACCTCTGTCCTGTTCTTCAGGACAGGACTTGAGGATAAGAGTAGGATGACTATCTTCCTAGCTGAACTGTAGGTTCTCCTGCATCTGTTAGTTTAAGTGTCGTTAGCCTGATTCCTATTTAATTTAGTGAAGCTTATTAGCTGTACAGTAATCATCCCTTCCACAAGTTTCTCCAGTGTCTAAAATTTAAAGTTACATCATTCTGTACAGTTTATGCGACAGCTTAATTAGACCTGATCCTTTGCATGAAATTCAGTATTTTAGGAGATCTCGTAGCCTTTTATGTTGCCGTTTAAAATTTTTTTCTCAAAGGTTCTCCTTCTCCACTCACTGGTGCCCACACACACAGCCGCTGGCTTCTTTTGCAGGGCTGTAAAGATTGCTGTGATGGAAGCCATTTCTCCTGGTTTTAGCTGTCTTCATTGTAGTCACCTGAGCTATTTACTTCAGCTGCATTTGAAGATCAGTGGAAAGAAATAGGTCCTTTAGGACATGATTTATCTGATCTGTGCTAAATTACTGCTTTAAGATGAGTTCAGACGTGTCCTAGATTCCATTGGCTGTGGTGACTGTGAAAAGAGTCGCGGTAACTTGCTTATATGTGAAGATTTCTTTTGGAGAGCTCTGCGTTCCTTCCCTTGGGAGATCTGTCGTGTTTGCACCCATCAGGCAATGGCTGCCTTGCCCATGGTGCTTCGCTGACATTACACACTCCGCTGTACTCTGGATAGTTGATTTGCCCTTCTGTGTTGCATGAGTCCTCCAATCCCCAGAGACCTCTCCCCCTCCCTCCAAAGGGGTTGCCTATGAACAGGAAGGTGCGTGACCACCATCTGGTGGAGAAGTCCTGTGTACAGGATCGTTTACCTCCCTCCCCACTTGATCTCCTCCTGCCAAGTGACTGTCCCTAAACTCAGCAATGGGCTGTTAGTTTGGAGGCAAAAGTCCTCCAGAATAACCCTGAAAGTCTTGTGAGCATCTATCTGCCTGTCTCCCAGAAGTCGTCCAGCTTGGCTTCCCAACCCAAAAAAATGAATTATCTACTTGATATGTCTGCATATGTCATCTGCCCTTGGTGCTACATACCACTCCTGTCGCAGTTCAGCAAACGCTGTACTTTTTCAGGGCTTCTACCTCCTTTCTGCTTTACTGCTGGCTTTTTATTTGGAGGGAGATGTTTGCAGTTCAGGAATGGGGCAGCAACGTTGGTTTAATTTAGTTTTCCTATCCTCTTTATTTATTCAGCTTCTTTTTTTATGAGTAACCTCCAGAATCCCTGATAGTCATTTATGGATTTATTCAAATGTATGGATTTAATATAAACTATAAATTTAAGGTGCCAGGCTCTCACACTTAGCAGAAAACTAACATAGTTATAAGCACACAAGGCAGCTACAGGCAGGGAAATCCTGATGAATTAATCTAACACAGTATAGAGGTGAACTGCCCTGTGGAGGCATTTATTTCCATTTATTTCTCTCAGACAGAGACTGTTAGCTTAGACTAGACAACTGACTATCGGATGTCCGAAGTCAGATGAGACGGAGCCTCAGCATGGTGTTCTTCTAGAAATTTGGTTTCTACCCTCGTTGAAGCTGGCAAGACCTGTTAGCAGGAAGCTCCTCTAAAATACTGAGCAGAAGTTGTCTAAGTTTGGCATCTAATCAGTAAAGAACCCACAAGTGGTGTCGCCTTTCCTTCTTCACAATTTGGGCATAACCTGTGCACTCTGGTTTTATAAATACAAATTGGATGCAGGAAAAGTTCTTACTTTCCAAGACTGTTCCGCAGATAAATTTCTCTGGAGTCACGAAGCACTGAAGTATAGTACTGGTTGGTACTGTAAAAGAGACAGAGAATAAACTAAGAATTTCCCATTCAATGCAAGGTGTGACTGTTACTCAGTACACACATTAAAGGGGGGAAGAAAGAAGCAGCCACAATATTGAATAAAACAGTAGACAGAAAAACTGTTGTTTCCTGAGCAAAGTCATCCTCTTCACTGAATCAAAACAAAATCCGCTTGAAAATTGGATGCGATTGTTACCCAGGCACATAGAGCGTGGCTCCTTGTCCTATTCTGATACCTAGGCCACGTAAGAAGTTTGAGCCGGCCATGAACTAACAGAGGAAAAGGGAGGCTGAGAGTTCATTTCCATGCAGAATTTGTGAGTTTGACTCCCACTGATGACAACCTGTCACCATGGTATTAAATGAAGTCATGAATGAAGGGTGCACCCTAATGTATTTGCAGGAAGGGTAGAGGTAATGTTGAAGAATCCTGAGGTCTCTTGCCTAAATTCTGAATGCTTGGTTCTGCAGCTTGAAATTCATTAGAATCACTTTTATGTGGATTTGCATATTCATTTTAAGGACTACTTCTAATACCATAATTAAATAATGAATGGGAAAAGAAAACAATTCAAATGCCCTTCAGACCATATACAGGAGGGAGATCGGTTGGTTCCTCCCGTAAGTTAACAAGTGGGCATTGGACTTCTCCAAGGCAGTGGAACAGATCTTCCATTTTTTTTAATTGAAAAATAACTGCTTGCAATTGAGGAAACCATTTATCCTACATCCTCGCAATAGTGCTTCTAATGTAGTCTGTCTGTTGACACAGTAGCAATATATAGAAGTAAGTGGCTTCCTCACACTGCAAAATAGAAAAGGAATTAGTGTGCGCTGTGACTGATCGCACACGAATGTGGGAGGACAGTGTTGGGGCGAGAACGTTTTGTGTTGTTTATCTGTGAGTAACATGTGCATGATTAACTAGGTTGCTTTCTTTTGAGGGAATGACATGTTTGCTTATTCAGTCAGAGATACAATGGCCTATCAGCCTATGTTGTTAAATTAAAATAAGGAAACACCACGTGGGATTTGTGTTAAGCTCTCAGCTATGTGAAGAGGGCTTGCAGATTAATTAAGAGGAAACAATGTGCTGCACTTCTCTACTCACTGTCTTTTATTTTCAGTCACTCCTACTTAGAGAAGTTTCTGACAGAGCAGATGATGGAAAGAAGAGAAGATGTATGGCTTCCACTCATTTCCTATAGAAACTCACTAGTTACGGGTGGCGAAGACGACAGAATGTCCGTTAACAGTGGAAGCAGCAGCAGCAAAGCCTCTTCAGTGAGGAACAAGAAAGGACGACCACCGCTCCACAAAAAGAGAGTAGAAGGTTTGTATGGTTTTAGTTTGGCTGGTAGAGGCATTTTTCATTTTGTACATATATCACAGCCTTCCTTCTTAGGAGCCCTTATGGTTTATCAATTAGCGCTGAAATATATGCTATATTCTGTATGTAGTAAAAACAAGACATCTGTTCTGCAAAATCCTGCCAAGCTTGAACACCTCTTTATGAGAAGTACCATCATGAGTCCCTGTTATTGCCTGTCTTCGCTGAGATTTGCAGATTCAGAACTATTAAAAGGTGTTACTGAAGTTGGAAACAAGAGGTGTTTGTGGAGTTCTCTGCTCTACACCTCCCTCAGTCATGGACTTCTGGTTTTCTGCCTGTGCTTCAGTCTGGAGTTGTTGTTAATTAACAAGATGTGAGAGGAAACCCAAGGCAGAAATTCTCATATAGATCTGTATTTTTGCAGGACCACTGGAGAACACTAAAAAACACTAAAAAATTTTTTTTGTTTAAAATGGTATTGATATCCAGTATCTGTCTTATTCTTTGTGTGACTTCAGGCACAGTTATCGGGAATTTGGCTACGATAGCCAATTTCTTACAAGATTGCATCTGTTCCTGGTTAATCTGTGTGATGTAGTGTGTACTTTTGTGAATATAAATATACTGTTTCACTACACTAATTCACTAATTTCACTAATTTCTTCACCGAGACAGTGGTCAAGCATTGGCACAGGCTGCCCAGGGAGGTGGTGGAGCCACCATCTCTGGAAGTATTCAAAAAACATGTGGATGTGGCACTTCGGGACATGGTTTAGGGACATGGTGGCGTTGGGTTGACGGTTGGACTTGATCATCTTGAAGGTCCTTTCCAACCCTAGTGATCTGTGATTCTGTAAATCCAGCCTATATTGGGTTCACCAGATTTGTCTGGGTTGGAAAACATTCCCTGTTGCTACTGAAAGTAAACTGCTCAGTGACATTTCTTCATAATGCCTTAAGGAAATCAAACATAAATATGAATTTTTTTTAAATCTCTAACATTATAAAAGGTTCAAAGGTAAATTCAAGAATAAATAGGCAACATTTTAGACAACATTGATGCCCAAAGGGCAATGAAAGGCATAGGAAAACTGAAAAGTTCCATTGAGATCCCCATCGACTTTCTCACCACACATTCTTCCTCTTAGTAAATCTGGGACCTTGTCTCCTCTCTTGTCATCTCCCCTGTCTTTCACTTGCTCCAGCAACTTGCTTCCTGGCTC